AAAAAAAAAAAAAAGGCCAACTGTTGGCTGTACATGTTCTTGTGGCTGTCAAGGAAGGGAAAATATATCTTTAGTTTATGAAAGCCAATATGATAAATCAAATTTCTCTGAAAATATTTGGTAAGGAAAAACTAACAATGTGTTTCTTTTTAAAATAACTTTAAAATTTTGGAACAATATTAGGCTTACAGAAAAATCGCAAAGATGCTAAAGAGAGTTTTTCACACACATATCTCTCAATTTGTTTATTCTAATGTATTCATCCTTCATTAGCATACACACTTGTCAAAATAAGAAATCAAATTTGATACATCACTGTTAACTATTCAGATTTTGCCATTTTATTCAGATTTTATTATCTTTTCCATTAGTATTACTTTATGTTCCAGGATCAAATCCAATCTACTGTACTCCATGTAGGTATCTTGTCTCTTTAGTTGGCTTTGATCTGATATTTCTCAGTCTTTACTTGTTCATAACTGTAAGCATTTTTTAATGAAGGAAAATAGGGTTTACAGAGCTGCAGAACAATTGCTATTTTAAAAATTCTGTTTATCAAGAAGGATTTTTGTTTCCTGATCCTGGTCAATGTGATGTTTTAGCAAATAGTGAAATACACTGGCTTATTAGCCTCAAATAAAAATTGATAATCACAATCTGGAATTCACGTGTACAAGGTTTGTAGTGGACAAGAAATTAAAATAAGGATGAAAAGGAAAATTAAGAATGTGCTGTGAAGAAACTTAAAATGCAGACTGAGAAATTTGGAGTTCACTCAACATTGGAAACCTCTAGATATCTGGAGCACAGAAGTCATTTATATTAATCCTCATTGCCTGTAGATGTTAGTTGCCTCCGGCCACTCTGAATAGCACTCCTATCTGGATAACCCGGGTGGATCCAGTACTCCCACCTCTTGTACTGATGCAAGAGATTAGAAGCTTCTCCAGATACTGTGCTAGCAAAGGGGAATTATAAAAGACTTGTATTATATAAACAATACTTTGAAAGACTGGCAGATTACAAAGATGGTTGAAAACAAATAGGATCAAATGGAAAAAGGATAAAATAAAGTTCTATATCTAGGTTTATGGGAAAATCAGTTACATAAATGGAGGATGGGGAACACTTAATCTGATAATCAATACTTCACGTGAAAAAGTTTAGGAGGTTTTGTGACCTCAATTTCAATATGAGTTCTGAGGGTCATATGTTTACTAAAAATTCAGTCCACGTCTGGAGAGGTGTCAATCTCACTATAGTACACAGGACTCAAACTCATTTCATAGTTTATTGAAAGATGAATATGTGAGGAACACCGTGCTAAATCCTATTCCAATACCTGAAATCAGAATTAGAGGTGTTTTAAAGTATTTTATACTAAAAAGCTTGGTAAATAAAAGAAAAGCACAATGAAGAAATTGAACATTATGCTTTGACTTCCTATTAACTGGAGTTAACCTATAAGAGAGTTTATATAACAGTTGTAATAATAATACCTAGAGGAGGCCTCTCCCATTCCTGATCACAACCCCATTTCAGAAACTTCTTCTACGGGGACACTTTGACAGTAGACTTTTGATGAACTTTATATCCAGTCATTTAAAAAATTATTACAAGATATTTATACTGTTTAGGCACAAATAGATATGCACATTATATTAAAACTTTTAATAAGTATGGGCTAGCAAATAATGCATGATATCCTTGGTAATATCCTTTTGTAAATTTTATTAAGTAACAGACAACAATAAAGTTAGATTCCACATCTTGAGCAACAGTTGGATCCCATATCTGGAGATAAAATCTTCACTGTCTTCAGAGTTCTGGTTGTTGGGTGACAGTAGGGAGCTAAATTTCTGAAAATCATACTGAAATATCCTGTATCCATCTCCCTGTCCAGATGAATAAAGTTATATATAATATGGGCTAAGAAAAAAACATTTAAATAAATATATTGATGGCAATGCTTAGCCACAGAATGCAATTTACAGGCATAAGCAGTCCAGCATAGCTAGTCAGCATTTTAGTCATATTCCTTCTAGTCTTGTTTAAACAAGCAAATATGGCTGATACTTTTGATATTGTTATACAACATAATATTTTTATTAGGTTAGAAATATTTTTTCTTTCATTAACTATTTAGATCACTTTATTTCAATTTCTGGATAGTTTTCCATGTAACATATGAACTACAATTTATTTGACCAGTGCCCCGTTGGTGAAAGTTAAGCATGTTTTGCTTATTTCCTTTCCTTGTTTCAATATTTATAAGTAAAAGTATCTATCAGCACAAATCTTTCCAAATCAGAATGGTTGCAATATTTTTAGGATTTGTAATGCATATTTTCAAAATTTTTTTCTGGCAAGGCTGAGCCAATTTGCATCTCTGTGAACACTAGTAAAGTATGAGGGGTTTAGTTCCTGCACCTGCCAACTCCACGTATAGGCATGACACACATGCCTTGCCTACATGGTTCCAAACTATATTCATTCATTATATGCATTCATAGCCATCATGTACTAGATACTGTTCCTACCCTTGGTAATAAAAGGATGTAAAAGAAAATCTGATCCTGTCTCCATGGTGCAGTCTAATCGGGGAGACAGACTATTGACAAAAAAACTGCACTCAGTCACTAGTTCAATGTGGACACTGACCACAGTAAATTTGAAAATAAACCAAGAAATCATTGTGTTTTGATAGGTGATACGTTCCCAAAACAAAAATTCCTAGTTTTTATCTCCTTGCCTTATAACACACACTAGAATGATCACCTCCTGTGCCTCTGCTACCTAAGAAGGATCTTATTAAGAAGTCTTGTGTTGCTTTTCCATAATGAAGCCTGTGCTTCCTTAATTGGAAACTTGTCTATGCACATTACAAAGGGGCAGACAATAGTGGACCCAGCTCTATCCTGTATTTTATGGCCCTGTCCTGCAGAAATCAATTTTCTAGCTTGCAACCTATTCCTCTTTCTCCTCTTGGACTAGTTAAAGCAAGTATTCCTAGTTCCATAGTGATGCCTTTGAAACTCTGGCCCCCAATTTAGGCCCTAAGAACTCCATTGGACTTCATAGAACACATTGATCGCAAGTTTAATAGCATTTTATCAGATTTCACACATCCCTTCTACAATTTCTGCTAGCTTTCTTGGGGTGAGGATCTTGGCACTGGTACAGGTGCAGAGTACAGCATAGGGCTCTCTTGACCTCTTGACTGCGCAGGTAATAAATGATGGGATTGAGCAATGGTACAATGCAGCATACAGTACAGAGACCAACTTGTTGGTGTCAAAAGCTGAGAGTGCCTTTGGCCAGGCATAGATGAAGATACTGGCTACATAAAAGATTATCACAACAGTGAGATGAGAGACACAGGTGGAAAAGGCCTTATAGCGTTCCAGCAGCTGAAGGAATGTGCACCACAGCACCAGTAAGGGCCATGTAGGAGGCCCGACTGACAGAGAGTGGCCCTAGAAGAATAAAAATGGCCAGGATGAAATCTGTAAGCTCTGCTGTAGACATGTCAGTGCATGAGAGGTTGAGCAATGGAGACACATCACAAAAAAAGTGGTTGATGATGTTGGGGCCACAGTAAGACAGGTGAGAAATAAGAAAAACTTTGACCATGGAGATGCCAAAACCTGCAGCCCAAGATCCAGCGGCCATCTGCACACACAACCGGCCACTGACAATGACTGGGTAGTGGAGAGGATGGCAGATGGCCACATAGCGATCATAGGCCATAACAGCGAGAATGACACACTCAGTGCAGCCCAAGCCAAGGAAAAAGTAGAGTTATGTCATGCATCCCTCAAAGGAGATTAGCTGTCCATGATCCTGTTTGGACCTAACAAAGCCAGCAAGCATCTCGGGAATAGTGACAGTGACGTACCAGATCTCCAGAAAGGACATATTGGCTAGAAAGAAGTACATGGGTTTGTGGAGGGTGGAATGGTTCCTAATTGCCATAATGACGAGTGTGTTCTCAGTCAGCACCAACACATACGCCAGCAGCAAAAGGGCAAACAATAGTACCTGTAGTGGCACAGGAGCAGGAAAGCCCAGCAACACAAACTTGCTCACTCTCCCACTATGGTTCCTCCACTGCATGTCATTGGTCTCCCTTACTGCTCTTCAGGACATGAAAGTAGAGAGTCTTCAGTAGGCCACAACAAGAACCCAGCCTTTCTCTTAATGGGCTTATATTGGTCGAATGCCACGTAAGAAGGTCATGCAATTAATCACTGAGCTGAGACCACTGCTCTCTTCTTTAATTTGGAAATGAGCTAAGGCAAACATACAAAAATAAATGTTTTTTTATTGGGAACAAGACAGATAGGAGTCTGTTCTGACCTTTGGAGAAGCATGCATTGAGACGCACTGGGGAAAAATGACACTATTTTGTCCCCAAAGAACATAGATCAAAACCAAAAAATCAAAAGAGTCTCAGCTACCCTAAAATGAGAGTTTGTTTTTGAGTTAGATCATGACTCTGTTTTGATGAAATAAATTAGGCAATGGAGGAATAACAATCATATATAACACAATTGAGTTATTGTTAGTGCAGGCACTGTTATTAGTGCAGGCACTGCTATAAAATGTTTGCAGTATTAATTCGCTTGATCTTAACAACAATCTTGTGGGCTAGTACTACTAATAGCTACAACTTTATGCCTAAAAAACCTGAAATATAGATTTAAGTGACTAATCCTGGGTTGCAGAAATAGCAAGAGGTGGAACTGGGAAGTCAGGATCTTGGAGCTTCCAAAATATTTAGGTGACATAAAGGAGGGACTGTACAATACACCTTGGATGTGCAACTGGGAGAGAGAATCTTTGGGACTCATTTGGAGAAACAGTTCCTTCCTGCCAGGAGGAAAGAAAGACCAAAGCAGAACACAAGAAGATCACAGCTCCTGTAGAGTGGAAGTCTACAGAACCCAGTACTTACAAGGAAGACCTGGGATTCACCTGGAAATCAGATTAGGAAATGAATGCTGGATGGCAGAAAGACTAAGCATTACAAGGTGCTGGAAGTTGTACTAAGTATCTTGAAATGAGGAGAGAGTACCTTCCTTTAACATTAAGGCCCATATTAAAACATACATTTACTAGGACACTCTCTTTGTTTACCTTGTATCAAAGAGAAAAATCTCCCTTTCCCTTTAAAAACTTCAAGCCATTTTTGTGTCTCATGTAGAAAAGAAGTTGGCATTTTTACATGGGAGTTGATATGAAGGAAGGGTTATTTTTACCCTGTGTCCCTGTACAGTTATAGCATTGGGACAGAGTGTAGAGTTTATAAAGGAGAATGGGGTAGAGTCAACTGAGCATCTGGGTGCGATTTCTTCTCAGATTTCTTACTTTCTAGTCTTAAATCTGTTCTTATGAGGTTAGTAGGGGCAGAATGTGCTCACAAATTAAAACAACTCGCTAATAATTTTATGCCTGACTTTCTCTTCTCCGTATGCTCTGTTATCATTACTTGAGCATTACTCAGTACTCGAGCCCTTGAATTTCTCTTAATACTGTAATGCAATTACAAAATACCTATGTCCCTGGCTTTCATTTCCCATCACTCCCATTCTTACCATCCACACCCACAATTTTATTTATTTCAAAATTGATGGTTGATCAACAGTGCTCTAGACCATGGGCTAAGAGTTGTGGTATATAAAGGTTCATAGACACATGGTGAGCCTTCAGGATCTTATAATCTAGTTGTAGGGGCCTATCTTCACCTTCCCATCCCTGAAAGTTTAAGCTACATGCCTATCCCTATGCCATACATGTGAATACATAGATAAGTGGGAACATCAAACCTATCATTGCTGTTTATGACCTTAGCCTTAATCCTTTCTCCTCAATACCTACCTCATACACCTTTCTTTTTGCTTTTGATCCGTTTGGCCTTGGACCACCTTCATTTGTATCCTTTGGTCACTTCAACCTTCACGTTTGATGCTCTGCACACTTGAAAATAATAGCCTTTCACACATGGACTCCCAACTTATTTTTCTGCTTATAGTCTTACCCTTAAAGGTGAGCCCTTGGCTCAGAATTGACCTTTTACTCTCCTTAAAACTCATCCATAGTGCCCCTTTTTGTACACAATAAATGCTCAAACCATTTAGCCTACAGGTACAAGGCCTATAGGCACTTCATGATTTTGCCACTGCTTCTACCTAAACCTTATTTCTTACCACAGTCTACACTGTATTTTATACCTTGAAACTCTCAGTGCACACCGTGTGTATCACCTCATAGCTTTCTTCATGCTACAATCTCCATGAGCATGGCTAAATCCTATTTAGCCTTCAAGTCTTGGTTCATGGGGCATCTACCCATAGAGACATTAGGTACTTTGTTTTTTAACCTCCTCTCTTCACAGGTTTGGTGTGATTCCCGTGGTTACTTGTCTCATTAGAGTCCATGAAAGCCTATATATCATTTTGCTTGCTATATCCCTGCAGCTATTGACCAGGTGGATATAAAGGGGGATGTCTGCAGCTGAAGTGGTTCCATATGTCGTTAATGGTGGAGGATGGAATGGATATAATTCCATGGATGTCACAGGAGTTCCACAAATCCACTATGTCTAGAATAACCTTTCCCAAGCAAGTTATTCCTCTATTACAATAAATGGCATTAGCTTTCATAGAGTCTCCTATGCAAGCCGTCTAGAAGTTTCCTAGATACTCTGTACCCATCCACCCTTTCCCCCAACACACATCCCACACTTAACTAATCCAAGTTCTAGCTAAAATGCCTCTTTAATTATCTTTCATATCAGTCCCTTTTCTTCTGTCCTATTTATACTGCTTTCCTCCTAGTTCCTCATAGCAGGTCCTTGGTATTCCTTGATTAACTATTTCGAGAGGATCTTAACCTGGTCTTTTTTCCTCCAGCCTGTACCCTCCAATATACCTTCCACTTGTTTTCAGAGTCATATTTCTCTATAGAAACTGCTGACCACAGAGCATCCAGTTTTTGAGAACACATACAAAATCCTCCAGTAAAGCATCAAAATGTGTTTCCTTTTAACTGTTATACACCAGGCCAATCATTGCTCACTATTTAACTTTTTAAAAACATGTCATGACGTTGTATAACTCTGTAACTTTACACATGTCTCTGTCAAAAACACCCACTTTCTTCCTAAGAATTTGTATCATAATGTTTTAGTCTCTTAGTTATTACCCCTCCAAAAGTACCCATATTTCTATACACAAGATTATTTGTTGGAGCATCTATCCTTCTGACAGTAGTTCCAATTATAAGGTTTTAATTACTGATGATTAAAGGTTTACAATGTGGTTGCATGAATGCATGGCAAAATGGAGAAAGGTATGATGCGGGCAGAACAGATGAATTGCAGATAACAGGAATGGAATATAAAGAAAAAGGTATTTAAAAAGGATTTTGGTGGAAATGGTCAGGAATAGAGAATTTAGGGATTTACCAGAGAATATGACAGAGTTGGAATTATATGCAAGTAAAACATGCATTGATTATAGATCTGCAGGGACCAGATAAAACATGAGGAAGTTAGATTAAATGCAGGGAGTTTGGACTTACATGAATAAGAGGTATAATATTTGGGTAAAACGAACTTACTACACAGGCAATAAATCCAATGAGAGATAAGGTGGAGATAACTAGAATATGGAAAGGATAGACTGGACATGGATGATCAGAAATACTGTAGGGAGAGGAGGTAGATTATGAATAAATAAAGGACCAGCTGTGAGAGGAAAAGATAAAGAAAGTCATAATAGTCTAAGTATCAACAGAATTCACCATATCTGGAAAATATTGAGAGATTTGGGATTTTTATTACGTATATAGAAGAATAAGAAGATGGATATGTTAGACATAAGTAAAGAAAATGTGGGATAATTGACCACTTGAAGAGGAATCAGCAGATAACAGAATCCACTCACTTTATTTAGATGTCACTGACTCATCAAGGTCCTCCTGAGATGGCTGGGTTGGTTAGGAGAGGATTTAAAATGTAGGCAAAAAAAGTTGAGTCATTGGGACTAAGAAAGATGATACAGAGACTCCACTTTTTCTTGCTCCCATAGAGAACACTGCCAAGCTAGGAAAGATTCCTTTATCCTGCACCTCACTTCCTCAGTCCCCATTTTCCCCTCCTCCTTCTGATGCTTTGGGATGGCTCTGAGACAGAAGCCCAAGAGATCAAAAGAGATACAAGAGGGAAAAAAAGACTGGGGCAGAGGACAGGGAAGGGGAAGGTTTGGAAAGCTCAGGCTGTAGGATTTTATCAGGAAGTTTCACGAAAGAGAGAATGTCAAGATACCCCTGAACTCATATTTCCCTCTCTTGCCTTCCTGTTCCTTGTCAGTCTCCCCTTTCTATCAAGTCATACTCCTGCTCAAAAGAAAGACACGGGCTGATGTTCTAACTCAGATATGTAATTTTGGGCAATTTATTTAACCCTTTGGGCCTTACATTCCTAATCTATATAATAGGATTCATATGCCTGACAGGATTGTTAAGAGGAGTAAATGTCATTAATATATGCACATATCCTGGAGCATGACAGGGGCTCAACAATGCTAGACAGTTCCTTCTTTATCTCCTGATGCCATATAGTTGACACTCATTAACTCCATGATGTCATACAAGGAGCACTGAGTTGAGAGTTAGGGTTTCTGGGTTTGAGTTTCATGTTTGTATTGGAATTTTTTTTTTATTTTGGGATTTTGTTGTATATGTTTGTTTTCCATATAATGATATCAACATATATTATGAAAATAACATACATTATAAGCATTTTAAGTTTGTGACAAGATTTGGCACTCCACTCAATCCACAGTATTCCATGTCATATTGAGGTCCAGCAAATTAATTACATGGGATTCACAGTCACATTGCTTGTGTTCAACTAAGGGATCTTGTGAAAATATCTAAACTCCTTGGGCCTCTGTTTTCTCAACTGTAAAATGAGAATAATTCTAATGTCTACTTCACAGAGTTGTTGTGAGGATTAAATTAATTAATATATGAATGGAAATAGAACAGCACTGAGAACATAGTATTTCTCAATAAATATTAGGTATTGTTCAAGAATGTTTGTTAAATCT